CACAAGCATGTTCACTTTGCATAGTAGTGATTTGGGTCCATGTCTCATCTTCTCAGACCTGCCAAGTAGCACAGTCATGTACCATGAGACACTGGAAGGACCAAAGTGTTTTGTACATAGCAGGTGCTTTCTGAAAAAAAAAATTGCAAACAGGATGGCAACTTTAGTAAAAAGCCCTCTCTTCTTTTAATTACCATTTGAATGACTATTATATTGGCTTTATATTTATAATATTGTTATTATATTTAATAGTATATTATGGAGCAGCTAAAACAGAAATTGAAAAGATGGGGCTTGGTACCTGTTATGTACAGAGTTGTATATCTCTCTTTTCTTCAAATTTTATGTTGAATTCTTAACCCCTTGTACCTCAGAATGTGACCATGTTTGGACACAGGGCCTTCAAAGAGGAAATTAAGGTTAAATGACATCATAGGGTGGGCTGTAATCCAATGTGACTGGTGTCCTTCTAAGAGGAGGATTAAGACATACACACAGACAGAAGGAAGACAAGGGAGATCCGGAGGCCATTTACTAGCCAAGAGAGAGGACTCAGAAGAAGCCAACCCCACCCATTCTTTGATCTCAGACTTCTAGCCTCCAGAAACAAGAAAACAGAATTTCTGTTGTTCGCTATCTTGTTTGTAACGCTCTGTTAACAAAACCAACTAATACAGTATCACTAACTTTGTGTACTATGTGGAATATCAAGGAATGGGACCCCATATTTAAGCCTTTAAATAAGTCACTGCATTATCATACGAAATAGGACCTCTGGATTTAAATTCTAGACCAGTTATTTGTTTGCCATGTGATCTCTGGAGAATGCCACATTTAACTTGTGTGATTGGGGAGGAAACTAAACTAGATAGCATAGAATAGCCCTACTTCCTGCACTGTCAGAGATCATTCCTGTGATAGATCCTAACAGAATGGAGGGCAGGACCGTGGCAGCCCATTTCCCAGCTTAGTGCCTGTGATCCTCTTATTGAGCTTCAACAGCTGCAGCTGAGCACCCTCGAACACTTAGGTACAGGCAGGGCTGTAGAATGCTTTGCCTCAGAGCAAGCACCTCTCTGGTCCCTGATGTCCATTTGTGAGTTCAGGGCTGGGGCAAGTTGTTCACTTCCCAGTCCTTTTCACAACAATCAACCACTTTCATAATTACCACAATCATTTGTGCTCTCAAAATGGGACCTTTCCTACAAGGAATGAGAACATTAACTCCCTGGAACTGGGCTAGACCTCTAGCCCTGGTGCCCGCTGTGAGATGAAAATTATGAATAAGGGCAGTTTCCAGCTCATATGTGTTTGGAGACAAACTCTGGGGTCAGCAGGCATGGCCACACCTTGGGAACTGCCCACTTAGGTCGTCTGGAAGAAGCAGCCTGCTGGGGTGCCAGGCACTCTGCCCACTACATACACTGTACTCCTGGCCTTGACCCACCCTCTCCCCTGGGGTGCTGGGATTGGAAGCCATTTCAGCTCAGCAAGTGTGGGTGAGTTTTTGGTTTCAGAGAAGATACTTTGGTGGTGGTGGTGGTGGTGGTGGGGGGAAGCAAAGAGACAAAGATGCAGGGTCTGGTTGCCATTGGCCAGGGTCAGCCTGGGCTGTGGTGTTAAGGGGCTTTCTGCAACCGCTGTTGTTTCCGTTGCTCTGGCAACCAGAAAAGAAATAGACTACGCCCAGTGCAGGTGCACACGAGTTGAGCGCCGGCCCATTTCCTCCAAACAGCTCCGGTCAGCCAGAGTTGGCGACCTCAGGGCTCCTCCCAGCGTAGCCAGCTGAAAGTTTCAACACATGGACACTGAAATGTGGAAACTGAATTCAAAGGGCTTTGACCACAGGGGCTCTGGCCAACACCCAGATGGCACCCTCCTGGTGGGTTCAGGAAAGTTGAGCCTGGGCTGGAGCATTGCCAGGATCTCCTGTGGGTCCCCACTGGGCTTTCCTGCCTCTGGTAACTGCACTCCTGCAGTTTCAGCCTGGATCCCATTGAGGAAGTTCGGTGCTGGCCAGGTCTGGGATTTGCCACTCCACCTAGAGGTCTGATGAGAAGCCGGCGCTGCCAAGAAGGGTGTCAGGGCTCCCCTACTGCAGCATCCTCCCTTGCTGAGCCACTCTGCCGTGCATACATGGCTCTCCCTCCACAAGGGCTCAGGGATCTGGCTCAGCTCTCAATCCCCAGCTGATGGAGCTTCTCTAGGATTCTTGTTTCCTTATTCGTGAAGTGAAAATAGTCAAACTTACTGTAAAGACTTATGAGGAAGAAGTTTTCTGTGAAAATACCTAACGCAGCACCTGGCACAAACTAGGTGTTCAACAAATGGGACATTGTCCTCTTGCTTAAGATCCAGAATTCAAGAAACCTCCATTTCTGATCCATTCATTTCATTGGTCCCACTGGAGAGTTTTATGGACCACTGGGTCCACTCCTTTAACAGAAATTTCAGGACCCAGGTCATCTATCAAACCCAACCCATTGGCAAATCCTACAGCTCACTCTTGATGGATCTGGATTCTCCTCTCCTGCCACCTCCACTGTCACTATCTTGTTCTAGCACTGCCACCTCTGGCTTGGATGACTACAGCTGCCATTAATCTGGGCTCCCTATTCTGTCCCTGGGTTCTTAATCTCTTCCCAACCAGCAGTCAGAGTCGTCCTTCTATACCAGGAGTCAGATGGTGCCTGTCTCCATCCTGACTTGTTTACAGACTCTAACATTTGCCAGGCACCATCCTGACTTGTTTACAGACCTTAACACCTGTCCTCTGCTCTGAGCTTGCTACAGTCCTGTCTCATTCTGAGCCCACCCCATCAGAGTCCCCTCCTCTATGATTTTGTCACATACCTCCACCCTTCCTCCTTCTACTGCAGCTCTGTGGCCTCCTTGCTGCTCGTTGAATGTACCAGGCATGCTCCCACCCCAGGACATTTGCAGTTGCCTTTCCCTCTGCCTGGGATGTTCTTCCCTCAGTGTCTTTATGGCTCAACCCTGCTTCCCTAATCCTCTGCTCAGCTGTCACCTTCTCACTGAGGTCTTCCCTGACCACTTATCTAAAGCATCATCCTCTATCCCCATAACTTTCTAAGCCCCTGCTTACTTTTCCTTTATGTCCCTTATCATAACTGGGAATAGATTTTTATGTTTATTTATTTACTTTACTGTTTCGGTTGTCATTGTTTTACCTTACCAAAATGTCAGTTCCAGAGAGCAGGGAATTTTGTTCCTTCTCCCTAAATCTCCAGAACTGTGCTTGGCATATAGTAAGCACTAAATAGATATAATTTCAATAGATGAATGAAAAAATGGAATAGGAAAAAGATATATACACACATATCATTTAAATTTGCATTAACTGGAAGCTCAGAGGAAGTTTTCATACATATGTATATATATGTATGTGTGTATATGTGCATATAGATATGCATAAATTTCTTTATGTATATTTTATTTGGAGGGTTTTGTTTTGCTTTGGCATGAGTGTCTTCTGTAATGCTCAATATACTAGAAGAGCCCCTACTGTATTTGGGGTATCTGTCCTGGTCCTTCCCCAAAAAAGCATGAGCACATTCTCGCGGTACTAATTTGGGAGCAGGGGTTGGTAAGGGGGGCTACATGGGTTATTTTTGAGGGACCTGTGTTTTAAGTTCAAGACCCCTATTAAGAGCTATATTTGTATTTACCAAAGATGGGTGACAGGGTATGGAAGGAAGAAATAGATATCTAGAAGCTCTTAGAAAAGGCAGGAGGTGAAAGGGAAGTAATAGAATTAATTTTCATACCTATGTGTCTGAAATGGGTATCTCAGAGGCTAAGTCAGAGGCACCCTGGGAAGAAGTGTCTCCAACTAGGGCATGCTCACACGGCTTGGCAGCTTCCCATTAGATGCTGGTTGTCCCAGGTGACGTGCTATGTCCTTTCTCCTCTCCCCCATATTTTTCTTTAAGCCGTGGTGTAGAGATAGGGGTAAGAATTTCTTCAAGTAATGTGAAAAATACTGTGAGGGAAGGGAAAATGTGAAAATGTTGCCCATCGCAAGAAAGCACACTCGGATCTTCTGGGCAACATGGGCTGAGTTGCAAGTGGCATTCGTGTGCTTGACAAACCTAGCATGGAACCCCTTGAAGAACAGCTGTCAGGAACCAGCTTCCCTGTGAAATGTGAAAAGAAGCTCCCACCCAATTATTAAGAGGCCACTAAGAGGAAAGAAAAAGTTTATGCAGCTAACACAACACGGGGCTTGCCAAAATCATCCTGCCCTAATTCTCTTGTCAGCAGAGCCACTTTCCCAAAGAGCTAGTGACTCGTGACTTGGTTGCTTAATTGTTCCTGTCCCTCCTGCTGGGTACCCCCACCGACCCAAGACCTCTGCCTACAGTGTACCCTTCTCTCTATTTTCACTTGTGGGATATTCCTCAGAGTCAAGCCTCAGAAAGTCTGTTGAGAGCACAATGATCTACACTCAGGATGTGAATGGCCACAAATGTCATATTGCTTATCTCTCTCTGTGCAACACCCAGCAGCTGCTGGCGCTTAACGAGGAGGCGGCACAGGCTCTGAGAATCGTCCTGTGTGTGCTTTGTTCATGCATTTTGCAGCTGATTTAAGAGCAAGAAAAGAACAGACCCAATCTGATGTCTTTACTCCAGAGATCATTCCACATCCTTCCTAGGGCAGGAAGAGCAGGTGACTGGGACACCGGACATTTGGCAAGCTGGTGGCTTTCCTGCTCTGGCATGCTTTGCCGGGGTTTTCATGAAAAGACAATGACCTTTACAAAAAACAATGACCTTTGCAGAGATCTCCAAACCCTGGCAATTCAGCAGAGAGCTCAGTTACAAAAGTGTTCCTATTGCTTTTCCCAACAGAGTTGAACAATTGGAAAGGAAGGCTTTTTAAAAAATTTACCAAAGTTTTTTGGCAAAGCTTAGGAACTCTCTCCCCCACCCTGTAATTAAAGCAGAAGTAAACAGTATAAGGATATCAAATTGCAGCTCTCCTTGGTAATAGGTGCCCAGGTGGAGCTGCTGCCTGTATAGACCTGTGCCTTGAGACAGAAGCCAGCCTCTTCGGGGAGCACTCCAATGGCTCCCCAGATCTGACACATCAAGATTAAGACCTGAGGATTTGGAGCTGAGAGACAAGAAAGGGTGAGTCATCTTGGCCACGGTAGGAAAAAAATAAAACAAATTCTTCCTCCTTCAATGTTGCCCTCCCTGAACCAACTCTGAACGCCCTCTTGGTTTTGGAAGGTGCTGCCTCACCTTGAAGAGGCTGTGGGCCCAAAGAGCCCAAAGCACCCTGCTCCCTGCAGAGCACAGTGCAGTGTGAGGACTCTGCCTTGGCTGGCACTGTGGGTCTCCTACTTCTGCCACTCACCAGCTGTGTGAGTCCAGACAATTGCTTCCCTCCTCCAAGCTTCTGTTTTCTTAACTCTAAAAAGAGAAGGAGCAGTAGTACTTACCTTACAAAATCCCAGTGAAACCTCAGTGAAACAATGTACGCGCTGGGTACATAGGAACCACCCCAACCTGATGTTCCTTGTATAGTTCCCTTCTTTTTAGTGTTCAGTAGGATTGCATTGTATGGGATGTCACAAGTTGTTTTTTCATTCACCCAGTTGATGGATCTTTGTATTGCTCCTAGTTTTGGGCGACTATAAACAAAACTTCTACTCTTCATGTACAAGTCTTATATGGACAAAGTTTCCTTTTTCTCTTGTTAAATACTTAGGAGGAGAAAGCCTAGGTCGTATGTTACACATATGTGGAATTTTTTAAGCAACCGTCAAACTATTTTCCAAAGCAGTTGCACCATTGTACATGATCAGCAGTGTATGAGAGTTCCAGTTGCTCTACACCCTGGCCAACATTTGACACCATCAGCCTTTCCCCTTTTATCCATTCTAATAGTGGAGTAGAGATAGTAGTTCATTTTCATATTTAGTTTGGCTTTTAGTGAAGATACTCAAAGCCTGAATTATCAGCTGAAGACAAATAGTTGGGCTTTTTTTGGTACCAGGGATTGACTCCAGGGGTGCTGTACCACTGAACTACATCCCCAGCCCTTTTTATTTTTTGATACAGGATAAGAAGTTCATTGTGCCTGATTCAGAAGATAAAGTGAATTTCAAGCAGTAGCAGTGGACCTAATGATTCAGGGCTATCGATCCTTTAAATCCCTTCTCATCTCTAAAACCAAATAATGGCTGTGATTTTATTACTTTACCATTGAAGACAATACTAATCCCTGGTCCATATCACCTTCATCACCTTCAGCTCTTGTTGCTATAACAAGAACATAGGATTGACAACTTTATTAATTTTGCCCCTGTGTTTATAATAAATAGGTTAGTGAAGGTGCTCTTCAATACTTTTTAGGACACAAGGAGAGAACCTGAAGGAGAAACTTCACCCTGATCTTGGTCTATGAGTAGCTTCCTGTTTCCTGAAACAAAACAAAAAACCCTCCGTTTTCATATGATGAACATTGGCAATCATGATATTCCTTTCTTCATTCTGCGAGTCAGAAACTTAGAGGCCAATTTGGCTTCCAGTCTATAGCAAGTTTATCAGACCCTATGCTATGTATTTTGCAAACTAACCCTTGTCTGGGTCCAGCTTACTTTCCTATTTAATTTTCAATTTTCTTTACTATCCCTATTAGATAAAATATTTCAAATTTAAATTTTTTTTAAAAAAGGTATATTTATAGTCAGAACTAAGAAGGCATCGATCCTCTCATTCTTGCTCCAAAGTACCTGATCCTCTTCCTGAGGAAGCAACTGCTATTATCAGTTTGTTGTATCCCTTTCCAGAGAGATTTTATAAGAATATAAGCATGTCTGTGTGTATAAGGGTAACATATGGATGGCAGTATGTGGTGCATGTTTGTAGGAGTTTGTTGAGGGCATAAAAAGAAAGTGCCTTCATTCCTGCTCATTGGTGACCCTTGAAATTCACTGTTGCTTTGTCTGCTCTTAAATGAATTCTCCAGCAGGGAGCTTAGCCCTTCTGGTCACTTTCCCTTTGAAAGTCTGGAGTAAAAAGCACCAAGTGGGACCCAACTCAGGCATGGACATTCCTAGGGCACTGGGGCCTCTTTGCCATCTCCCTCCCTGGCCCTTCAGTTTTTCTACCCTTACTGTATTTTCTCTGGCTCTTCCAGAGTTGGAAAGTGGGGCACTTGCACCTACAATTTTCTTCTTTATTTTATTTTTATGTGGTGCTGAGGATCGAACCCAGAGCCTCATGCGTGCTAGGTGAGCACTCTACCTCTGACCCACAACCCCAGCACCTACAACTTTCTTAAAAGGAATCTCTTTGGGGTATTGCAATGTCTTCATCTGCAGGTGTAGAGCTCTAGAAGTGTCTAGAGGTCTAGAAGTTCTTGTCCCCTCCCCTTTCCTTCAGAGCCTGATTAGAACAGAGAATTAGTTCCCTTCCTGTAACATGGGGGAAATCTCTGAGATGATGTTTACACTTGAGAGCTCCCTGATGGATCAGGCTAAGGTTGGGTCTTGCTAAATTGCCCAGGCTGGCCTTGAACTTGTGATCCTCTTGCTTCAGCCTCCCCAGTAGAATAACTGGGATTATCTGTGTGCACTACGGAACCCAAATCCCTCTCCTTCTTTTACTGAAAAAACAAAACAAAACAACAACAACAACAAAACCCAAACAGTTTTAATCCAAATAATCCATTTTAATATCGAAAATGTGGTAATCCTGGTAGTGGCTGAAGAAGCTACATCAGAAAAGCTGTCTCCCTAGGGAGATGGGCCTCTCCTACTGGGACAGTCTTGTCCTAGGGTTACCCCATGAGAAGGCAAGACAAAGAAGCTTTGAATTATATATATCTTGAAGTAGTTTATTATTCTATTATATGGGTCCTCTTCTTTTAGAAATGTTAGGGTTGTTCATATTTTCTTAATTAGTCTCTTCAATATTTATTAACTTTTTCTCTAAACTTTTAAAAACTTTATTACTGCTTTATTATTTCCATTTCACACATTTATTTTCCTCACTTTTCTCACCATGACATCCATGTCCTTTATCATATTTGTGTCATGGTCTATCTTCTAAGTGCTAGACACAATGTGAACTTCTTTTTGGTAACGCTATAATTTTATTCTTCCATTTCTTTTCTAATTTCTGCCCTCTTGTTTCATCTACTCCTGCCTGTTTATGTTTTCTGTTGGTGCTTGTATCTCTACTTTGTGTTCATGGTTTAAGGTGGATGAAAGGACACACACAGAGTCCATGCAAAGTCTAAAGACCACACCACACGCTGGAACATCACACTAGAGATTTGTTGTCGGTAGCAGGAGGCATACTGAAAAAATTGTCAGTACGGACCAGTGGGCTTGGGAGTTGTATAAATGGTTTGCTCACATCCTGGTTCTGTTATGTAAAGGGTAGGTTTTCTTGATAAGGTTGTACTTTCTGAGACTCAATTGCCCCATTTGCAAAACAAATATGTTGTTACTTCACAGTGTTGTGAAGATTGGATAAATAAACAATGCAAAAGGCTTAGCTGAGAGTCTGGATATTTATTAAGGTGCTTAATAAACATTTGTTCCATTTCCACCTTTTTTACCCTAAAAGAGGTGTAAGTAATTTTACCATAACAAGAAGCAGCTTTGTCCTAAACAGCATTTTATTTAACTGTCACTATTAACAAATCACCCATCCCAATAAATACTATTAGAGAGTATTGAAGGATCACTAAGGTCACGAAATTTGTTTTATCTCACTTAATTGTGCCTCAACTCTAGGTGGTATGTCATATCCTCATTCCCATTTTACAGTTGAGCAATCTGAGCCTTTGGTAACTTCTTGTTCAAAATTGCAAGTGAAAAATCTACAATTTTTTTTCAAAACTATAATTTCAGGGGTCATGTTTTAATCACTATAAAGTAGCCTTTTTGCAATGCAATCCTTCTCTGTGACAGGAGCTGCAGAGGAAGCAAAGATATGTGAGGTATTACACTTGGCCTTGGGAAGCTCACGGTACATACACATTGCAGAAAGAGTTTCATAAAAGCAAAATATTGTGACCGTTTTGTATCCGTACGACAAGTACTCAAAGGAAAGCTTCTGGTTTTCTGTTAAATGGGATAAGAATTGAAGTAGTACATAGAGGATGCTTTTCTCCTCCCAAGGGATTACAGCCTTAAAACTATAATTTTCCATCCTTGTCCCTCTGTTTTTAGATGGCTTAGTCTAAGTGACTGCTAAATCACTTAGAATATTTGGTTTTCTCAGAAGCTAGTTATCTGTTTTGTGTGTATGTTATACCTGTGTAAATACATGATTGGCTTTTAGTACGCAGAGGTTAAAGCTTGAAAGGAGATACAGAAAAGTAACACACTACTTTAAGTCATTGTTTAACATAAGCAGACTCTAAATTGCTCTAGAAATGAGTTTTGTGTTTTGACAGTTTTTTTGTGTGTGTGTGCATGTAGCATACACAACAAAGCCAAATTCAAAAGTACAGAATCTTAAGAATTGTATCGTTTGGGTTTCTCCAGACTAAACAAAAAGTTCCCACTATGGCCAGATAAAAAGATTTTTCTAACCCTCCCTGCCCCCACCCCATCTTCCTATCAGAGGACCAAGTTTACAATGCGTGCAAGAATGTTGGATCAGGACTTTGCCCTGTTTCTATTCAGGGTACACCTCTTGGCTCTGGGCAGAGTTGCAAGAATTCAACCATACCATGGCACAGGTTTGTTGGAATTCAGACAGTGAGTGTTTCCTCTAGATTATGGTAGATTCCTTCCACAAAAAATATTTTTCTAGGCAAGTAGTTCCATAATTTATTAGTTTCAAGTCAAATGGAGATAAACTTTAGTTGGGAGAAAATAAATAAGAATTTGTAGAAGATGCAGGCCACGGCCACTTGGGGAAATCTCAGTTGGCACCATTGTGGGGAACCTGCTATCAATGCAGTATCAGTGCTTTGGGAACCAACCCTCTCGGCCTTTCCTTGCCACCTCGAAGTCCTAATTATTTTCTGTGAGCCAGCACACTAGTGTGAACACATAATCATCAACACATGCTTCTGCTAGCAAATCTTTTGCACTTTCTTTTCAGTATTGAGTCAACTGAGTTTTTAAGATCTATTTCTACTGCTTTCTCAAAGAACACTC